TTCTGGAAAAAAAAAATTGTTTGCAAAGTTTAATAAATGCACAAGAATTGAGCCTTTGCCACAAACTCTGATCTTTGCGACCCAATGTCGTAGACATGAATTCTATGAATTCTGTTGAATAATATAATCTAAGTTTGAAGTATCAAAGATTTACACCACAAGGTTGAAAAGATAAATTGGAATTAGAACATTTGAGTTTGTAGCAAAGAATCAATTCCTTTGTGGAGCAATCATATGTTTTAATTCCAGATAAAAGCGATTATTAAACAGAGCAAATGCTTTGCATTATCTGAAAATTGTGTACACCTGTGCCCTGACGTCATTGGTTATCTAGGTTGCCGATAGTCTAACGATCGACATTAAAACCTTATTTATTTAACACAATTGTGAATGTTGTGTGTTAAAAGTGAACTCTTGTTAATGATATTAACTAGTATTTTATATTTTATTTAATCTTTTGTTGGATCGTCTGGTGAATTATAGCTGAATTTGTGATAAAGCTACGCATCTCTTTTGTATCAAATATAGCCAATAATTGTTAGTGAAAATTTTCAGATGTCGTCAAATATTTATTCTGAGGTTTCGTGGAATGAGATTTTAGGCGATGAAGAAGAGAGGAGACCATAAATGTCCAATATTATAAACGATAAATAAATGTTGTGTAAATGACGTCTTCTGTTTAATCTTAGGCAAAGTAATAATACCCATAAATCAATCTTTCTCTTCAATTGATTTATGGGAGTTTTGTTTAAAAAAATAAAACAATTAAAGAAAAAATTATCACAGGAAGCATTGGATTATAAGAAACGTCATTTAGATCTTTGGCTCACCGATAAAATGCGCAGATTTTCTGATGTGCTCTCTGTAATTAGCAAAGTCTGTGATACAAAGTGTCCCACCTAATACTTGCAATAAAGTTTTTAAAGCTTCCGCAATTTTTGACAGCTCTAAACTCTTGAACCTTTTATTAATAAGCAAAGAGCAAAAGCAAACAGTGTCATGTTTAGTGAGACAACCTGTATTTAAGCTATTAAATCATTTATCGGATTAAGTTCAATGTTTAGAAATAACATCGAAATTCACGTTATTTCACGCGTGATTATAATCTCGCAAGATTTAAATAATACATCCTCTTCTAACAGAGCTATCTTGAGAAGAACAAAAATGTTTTAAATTTCTAGTATTCTATATAAATTTACTTTTTATACTGGCGAGTAAAATCAAGAAGTTCCGAAGCTACGAGGTTACAAAGTTGTACATTTCACCTTCTCCTTCTGTCGAGTTGGTAGTAAATTGTAGAAACTTTAATTTTTCTAATCCTTCTTTGCAACCCAATGTCATATACCTTCGGTATTTCAAACTATTAAATCAAAGGTCTAAGCTTTAACAACATGAAAGGTTTACACCATCAGGTTACAAAGATATAGGGATACGTTAATTTTAGTTTGTGGCAGACTTTATTCCGTTCTCTTCAAAAAAAAACCATGTGTAAATTTTGTTTATTACATCAACTAAATAATAACAGTACATAGTGGTCATTACAATATATTCTATATATATAACATACATATATATATAAATTATATATTTATATTTATATTCTTTGGTTTATTACCAGTTAATTATGTAATATCTATCACGAGTGTAATATTGCACACTGCCACAAGAAGAGGGGTAAGAATAGTGAATTTGAAGGAATATGTAGAGATGGACAACTTAAGATTATTTTTAGAAAGCTTTTGCAATTTTGGAACTTTGAAACAAATCCTTAAGATAAAATTTCTCCATAAAGATTTTGAAATCGTGTTGAAAACCTGAAACCCACGAAAAGAGTTCGTTTAAAAAAACCAGAGAAAAAAATTAGTCAAATTACATCAAACATCGATTAAAATATAAAAGTAATTTAATTGTTTTCGTAAAAAATCTTACTTAAAATCGATTTTCATTTCGTTTTAAACAAAAACGTTGCCCACTGCCCATCTCTAGGTTTATGATATCCAGTGAAATTTTAAGTTATATTTAGGCAAATATATAGAGCAAAAAACGAGAATAATTACAAATAAAAAAAGCTTAATATTTTTCGAACTTTTGTTTTACTCTAAGTTACTAATTATTTTTTTTCAGTTTGCGTCATACAAGTTTATTTTTAGCAGCTTCATTATAAACAGTTTAAAAAGTTCAATTATCTTATTTATTTTTAAATTTGAGGCGTTTCGCCGAAAACTTTCTTAAACATCAAACAAGTAATTGATTTCTCAAATTTTCAAATGCCCTTTTAAAAACTACAAGCCTATATGCGAATTCTTTCACGTAAAACATTGCAAAGTGCGAAAAACTCAATACAAAACAAAAAACAATGGAACAAGATGCAATTTGCACATTTAAGGATGGGTTTATATCATGGATTATGGAATAGAAGGGAGATACAACTGACGCGGCCCGCCCTACCAGATGATTATACATGCTTTGCAGACGGTACTCCATTTGTATAAGAAATATTACCGCGTATACAATAACCTATTCTGAATATTTCTTATACAAATGGAGTACAGTCTGCAAAGCATGTATAATCATATGGTAGGGCAGGCCGCGTCAGGTATATCTCCCTTCTATTCTATACTCCTTGGTTTAAACTGTATATTAGCTGTATACTGTTTATAAGGGATAAGGATATTGGAACTAAACACTTGCCGCAAGTTGCGAAGATACAGGGATTAGAAAATTAGTGTTAGTTGCGAGTAATAAGTAANGGGGGGGGGGTGTGCACTGTGCAATCTATTTTAAATGACTAGATTATATTTGAACAGTTTTAACAAACAAATAGTTATTTTTGTAAAGCTCTTAATTTTGTGCTTTCAGATCATAAATCCTTTTATAATTGCTGTAATTTGTAATACAAGCGTTTAAACATTTTAGATACGATAACAATATAAATCAAGGTTTTCACGAGTTTTAATATCTTGTGTATGTACTAGTATGAAAAAACTATATGTTGAGGGGAGTGTGAACATAATTCCAAGTGACCCTAGATTTAAAGTGTTATATGCCCGATCTACAACGGTACCCTTTACACCCTTTACAACTAGAATTAACAATGATGAGAATAGCATTGCTTTTCTGTATTTTTTGAGAATAATAAAGCGTTTTAGTGCCCTAAAAAATTCCCCCCTCAGTTTTTTAAAAGCATTTCTGATAGTGTTTTTTTATTTTTCCCCTTCCCTCTTTCCCCTTTTCCCTTTTCCCCTTCCCTTCCCCCTTTTTCCTTCTTTTTCTTTATTTTTTTCCCCCCAAACCCAATGAAAGCTTATATTCCCCTCCCCGAGGGGGGAGAGCAAACAGAAAAACAGAAAAATATACACCCCTGTTGTGTTTTTTTTGTCTTAAAAGAAAAAAATTATCTCAATGTTTAAAGAGTAACGTTGCGAATCGGAGATGACACTTCAAAAATGGAGGTTCATTTTAAATTACGTTTACAGAATTGGATTTTTTTAATTTGAAAGATAGTTGATATGTTTGAAGAATAGCCTCTTTTAGGCGACTTTTTTTGTAACGATAAAAACGATATCATAAGTGCCATTTGAAGCCATTTGAACAGTAGTTAAGCAAAATTATAGACAATATCTTGCTGCAAATATTTTAAACTATTTCTATAAATTAGCATTTATGTCTATTTAATCTAAGTAGGAAAATGACTGAGCCTAGCAGGAAAAAATGTACATAAGCTTAAAAAAAGCGCACACAATCAGTAACACTTCAAAATGATAATTAAAATTCGGAAGGGGGTGGTTTTGTTTAATAATTTTACATTTTTTTTAACCTAATCTCTCTAAGTTACATTTTTAAAGTAACACTATCGCTGCTGGGGTTCTTGGAAACCAGGATAGGCTCGGGGNAATATCAAATGCTCTACTTTTATAATCTGCAAAAAGAATTGCAAATTTTCATAAAATGATTTTTTTTGCAAAATCAATGAAAAAGTGAAATGTTAAAAAAAAATTTTAAAGAAATGATAAGATATTTATTTTTGAAAAGCCCTTGACCATGCCATTTCGAATATGCAAAATTTTGTGCAAAATTTTATATAACTTGGTGTGTTTTTAAGAAAAACTAAATATGTGCAAATTTCATTTGATGGGATTTATGCAAACAATTTACAAAACTTTCTTTACAAGACATGTGCAATCCGTTTTCTTATGTCACAGGCTTTCCAAAAGGCTAAAAATTAACAAAATCTGACAGCTGAAAGTGGGTCAAAACAAAAATTTAGTTTGTTACAGGAAAAAGTTGTCATTCAGGCCGTGTGCTTGAGTCCTTAGGCAGTTATCATAAAAGCCCGGTTTTAGACCTAAAGGGAGGGCTATGGGTATTTAGGAAAAGTCATAAATTTCAACAGCCTCAGACCAATACTTTTGAGTTATGTAAAAAAAAACTACAGGGGGAGGGGGGTAAATTGACCCCCCCCCCCATAACCCAGCAGGAATAGAGTTAGAGGTCTCAGTGTGGTTTTATAAAAATGGGGATTTACAATTTTTTGTTTATGAAACATCTTGTTAGTGGAGTAATGTTTGTATTTTAGTTAAAGAACTCTAGAACTCCTTTTTTCAGACTAGCAAATATTATTTCACAGGGATGAGTGACTCATGAGTCATCTTGACAAAAATAGAAATCGAAAAAATAAGATTTAGATTTTGTCATGTGCTGACGATGAGGGCTTAAAATAACACCGGGATTGGGATATAAGCAGAGGCGTATTCAGGGAGGGGGTCTATGGGGGATATCCATGATTTCCAGGGGGGTTCTTTGGTCCCCAACAGGTGCTAAGCCCCCCCGTGAACAGAAAAAAATGTAAGCCACTCTCCCCTCTGGACAAATTCCTGAATACGCCCCTGGAAATAAGTATCTTTATATATATTTTACTCTTCATTCAAATGCCCCCCCCCCCCCATCATCCCCTGCACTTGTTGACATAGAAAATAAGATATTTGAAGCTACAATCCAACCATTTTTCATAAACCCTTAAATTTTTATATTACTCTTTAAGACTGAGGGAGTATAGAGTGAACAGGGGTCATTTGTTTTTGTAAAATATTTATCAATAAATTAGTTTAGGGTTGCTTTACTGGACAGAAGTCAGCAAAGGTGGAAACTTTTGATTAAAACAACGTCCTCAACGCGGACAGTGGAAACTTTTGATTAAAACAATGTCCTCAACGCGGATATTCACAGTGGAAACTTTTAATCTGCAAATAAGGGCTTCTCAATAAAAAACTGACAGCAGTGTCTCACCGAACCTGAAAGATGTGAGAGGATAATACTTAACTACTCCGACGGATTAGAGATTTCTGAAGGGATTATTAGATATACAACATTTCCGACATTTGAGGTTGATCGAGATAATTTTAGAAGAAGACAATTATTTAAAATCTTCAAGATAGTCGTTTTTATGTTTTTTTTTTAAGCTGAAAGTGTAATTTTCTTTCAACTTGTGCAGTAAAGTCTTTGTTGAGGTTTTCAGGAAGTAGAAGCTGGAAACAGGGAACAGAATACCAGAAGTAAAAACTAAGAAAAACTAGATTGATTTCCGGCCTCTCATGATCCTCCGGAACAAATTGTTCCAAAGCTTTCTCCAACGAGGTCGCGGTGTTGTATCCTCATCCTCCTCTTCTCCCTTCAAGTCAGGGGCCTCATTGTTCCGCCTGGAAATCAACATCGTTTTTATTTTAGCTTTTACCTTTTTATTATTATTCTATTTTATATGTATTTTTAAAATAAAAACGTTTTTAATTTCTTTTCTTCTTCTTTCTTTGTTTCCTTGTTTGTCATTTTGTTTGTTTGTTTGGGCGTTTTTTTCTTTGTTTTTTTTTTCTCTCTTTTTCTTATCTGTGTGTCTACCTGATATCTCTGACTAGTGTATGAAAAACATCGTCTACATGCTGTCGATGTGCAGCGCTTGTCTCGTAGAAGGAACATCCAAACTAGTAATATATATCTTTATTTACAAAGTAGTAATCTCTATTTGTCTACATTGGGTTTCAATCTTAGAATGTCCGAAAGCATAAAATTTTTGAAAAATATTTTCTATGAAAGTAGACAAAAAAACATTGAACATACGTTAAAAATGTACATCCAAAGTTTTGAAAAATATTTACTATGAGAGTAGACTAAAACTTTTACTCAAGGAACTATTTCTAGCTCATGAAATGCATTAAAAATCTGGCAGATTAAAATGGCATTGAAAGACAGCAAAAGCACAGTATTATTCAGAATACTTTAGATCTAAATATTTTTAAGATGAAAATAACTTTATTCCAAATTCAATTATGGTTGAAACTTTACCCTTTCGAAGATATTACTTATTTTGCAACTATTTTAAATAATTACTTTATTTGCTAACGAGCGCCCTTCCTCTGTACTTACTACCCGCTGTTCAGTTTCTAAATCAACCTGAATAAATTAATATTATTTTTGACAATTGACAATCTAAGCTTCAATTCTGATCTAATTTTCTAGAGAATCCTGTCTGAAAAAAGAATCGAAAATGCATTTTCCCCTTTTTTTGCATTCGTAGATTAAAATGACAACGATTCTGTGAAAACAGAGTGCAAAAAATGTATGAAAGATTAAGAGAGTTTTAGTATTTTGGTTGGAAATATAGTTACAGTGAGAACCAGAAAACTCTGGAAAAGGGAGACGACATTAAAGCAAAAATTAAGAGTAATTGATGTTGTTACAATGCAAAAAATTATGCTAGTTACTTATTAAATCACTTGTTAAGTGAAATGGGCCTGTTACAATGCACAATTGCCGTGTCTCATGTTCATTCGAATTTTTAGAGTTAAAACTTGAGTCCAAAAGTCGTCTTCCTATTCCAGAATTTTTCTGGTTCTTACTGTATCATAATTTTTAACTTGTATTTCAACTACTTTAATGATCAACCTTCAACCGTCCTTGATATATGTAAAGTTAAACAAATCATACCTAGTTTATCTACTATTCCATAAATCCTTTATCTGGTTTATTCTTCAAATAGTAAACAAAATTCAAAAAGGAATAAAACTCATTTAAAAAAAACATTGCAAACTATGTACATTTACGTGCCAATACTGTATTCATAACAATCAATTATCTTTATTTTTTCGAAATAGTTTCTGCAGAAGTCATATCCTAAAGGAACCGGGTTCTTACTCTATATCTTTGCAACCTGATGTTGTAGACCTTTGATATTTTGAACCATGAATTCTGTAAGATCAAATAGTTTTAGTAAGTAAAATAATAGGTTTTACATCATAAGGTTGCATTTAAAATTTGTGTTTGTACCATTCGTTTATTTCTACACCAAAAAATATCCATTTCGCTGAAAGGCCAAAAGGTGTGTTGCAATGCAACAAAAATAAAAAAGATATTAAAAGAGTGGATATTTACAATTGAATTGAAAAATGTAAGAAAGAGTTCCAGATGTGTGATGGGCCTTTAAATAATGTCATTCGTGAGGAGCTGTTTAATGTTGACAAAATATGAAGTTTATCTCTTTAAATTGATCTTCTTAATTGTGATATTCCAGAAAAAATGAATTTGATCATTTATGCAGCACAGACAAGGAAGGAAATGGACAGAATAATATGTTATGGTAAGTGGAAGCAACTTTTTAATTAGAGAGTCAATCTAGGTTTTACACAGTCCCTGTAAATAAGAAATATACATTATAGTTTTAATTACCTTGTTAGCAACTAAAATGACTGGAACCTGTTCTGTAATTCGTACTTTTGTAATCAGATCTCTGTACTCTATTGCTTCGTCAAAACTATGCCTAAAATTAAAACGCAAATTTTACAATGCAATATAATATATTGCATATATTACTGGCACCACTTTGCGACCTTATAACTCCTCCAGTTTTCATATTTCATGTATTACTGGCACCACTTTGCGACCTTATAACTCCTCCAGTTTTCATATTTCACGTATTACTGGCACCACTTTGCGACCTTATAACTCCTCCAGTTTTCATATTTCTTTTAAATAACATTTAACAGGTGCGACTCTGCGAACTGTCCTGCTGTTTGAATGTTACACCCTAGAGTGAAATAAGTTGTTGCACATCAGGAGATTTTTATACAGTGATAAAACCAGAAAACTGTCACCCCGGACTAACCAGAGTGAGAAGCATTCGGTTTCATTTATTTGAAATCAAACGTGTTTTGGTCTATAAATTAAAAATCTTTAAACTTACGGATTTGTTTATTTTATACGTTTTCATTCAAAATGTTTATGCCAACAAAAAAGTATTTAAGAGAAAATGCTAAAATATTATGTATAATTGGTCAAATTTTGATCGAAAGTCACAGTTCTATGATATATTGACAGAACTGTTAAATCTACGTGCTGTAGAATAGAAAGATGCCATTGATGCAATACTAAAGTGCATTTGATGCTGTTTCAAGGCAAATAGTTTTATTGTAGCTTAATAAATCATTTATTAAGTGAAGTTGGTCTGTTTACACTACAAAATTGCTGTGTTTCATGTTCACTTCACTTTTAAAAGTAATAACTTAATTCTAAAAATCGTCTTCCTTTTACAAATTTTTATGATTATCACTTAGGATCCGGATCCGCAAAACTATGCGGTTCCACAGATACGGATCCAAAAAAATTTGCTCGCAAACACAATATCAAATGTTCACTTATAAGAGATGTATAGAGAGTTATAAAAACTACATAATCTCAAAATTGTTCAGAATAAAAATAAGCGAAAAAGGAAGATATTTTTTTTTAAAATTCCGTTATTACAATATTATCTACCTATCTGTAATACTATAGCAAATTATAAATCCCTCTCCGCAGCGCATATACTGTTCTCTCATGGCAGTAAACTCCACCTGAAAATATAAAAATATCCAAAATCTAAAAAAACAAAAAAAATATTAAAATAATACAGAAAAAAATAGGTTTAATGAAACCTATCCGGCTAAGATTCTTGTAAGGGTTTCTGTGAAATTTAATATTAAAAAACAAAACTCCATAATTTTTTAACAAGATGAAACAAAGATTATGTATGAAGGAATCCCCCCCCCCTCCCCTCCCCCCATTTATCCAAATCAATACTCCTACAACTGCAGTTTAACTTCAGTTGAATCTGAACTGTAGGGGCTTCCAGAGCTAATTGGAGCAAACAGGATCGAGACAACATATTTTTAAGTGATTTATCAGTTTAAGAGTTGGATGTCTCAGTCACAATGGTATCCTTTCTCTCCTACATCGAGAAAAACGGGCTGTATTCTGGCAATTTACTTCCATCCCAACTGTTGCAAAAATCGGCAAGCCACTTTTACAGAGAATTGCAAAAGAATATAATAAATTTTAAGACAAATGATTTAAGGGTACCGTTGTGAATCAACCCTAAAATTCTATATACAGTCTCTTCATAATAGAATAAATATTTCTTTCCTAGAATCTTTTAAAAGATTTTCTCTGACTTCAGGGAAGTAAAGACCAAAAAAAGAAACTTATGAAAATTTAACTTTTTTGCAGATTTTATGGAAGCAAATAGTTAATAAATAGGGTTTGTTAATTTTATTTTTTTTGAAAATTGTTATTTTGCCAAAACAACGTGTTTAAAAAGTACAGACAAATTAAAATCAAAATCTAGCTGTGATTAAAACATAAAAAAATAGCTGATTTTTTAAATAAACATTTGGAATCAGCGATTTAGATGTTTCGTTTGACACACAATTGGAACTATTTTTTCATCAGTCAATTCATGCAGATGATGGGTGGGGGTGGGGGAAGGCAACCCACACCCATTTTATCTCCGACCCACAAATGACGTCACAAAATGGTATTTGCGGCGTGCGCTTACCCCTCTAGATTACAACCGTTTTCCCTTCCAGCAAAATTTTTGGTGCCTTTGGCAACATTGTGCCACACCCCTCCCCCTTTTTTCAACCTTTTTTAACTTTGTTCAGGTAAACTATTCGATCATATACACACTTCCATATTACAAGTGTTAATACATTATTCATGTAATCTTCTTTTTGGATTCATGTTTAATACTGTGGTGTAAGCTTCAAGGGGTGAAAAATAACAATATTTTCATAGGATTTATTACATAAATAAGGATATCTAATCTATATTTACACTGAAGGCAGTATTGATTAACGCCTGTCTAATGAAACTTTTTAGTTGTGGGCAGGCGTGAGATTTGAATGTATTTTGTTATGATTTAATTCAACTTAAATGGAATACATGCGTAGTTTCAAGGGACTCTCCGTTTATAGAGTGGCATGTCCGATGTACCTTTGAAACCTTCATTTCTCCATCGTTTCTGAAGCAATTAAAATGCATGAATCACTTTTGTAGAGAAACCACAAATGAAAATAATCGGTTTTTAAAATGGAAAACATGGATATTTAAAGCAATACTTGATCAGACAAAACTTTGAATGGTATTGTTGTAAATCAGAATGAAAATTTTTTCTGCAGTCACTTTAAACCTCTCAATTCATTCTATAGTATTATAGTATTAGTATTAAACTGCTTTTAGGTTTGTGAACTTTAAAGAAAAAAAAAAGAAAAAAGTCTTTTTAACAAACTCTGATTTTCTTACATCTTTCTTTTTTCAACCCGATGCATGAAAGTGTAAACCACGGGGGCGGCCGTAGTATTGAATTACCGAGCCGGGTCAACCTTTCCGGGCCCAGTTTGTACTGTACCTAGCTCTATGGACAGGACTAGCCGGTGCATCAAGGTTGACGCGGTCAGACATTATGCTTCATTTAGGTTGAATTTACTTTTACTAAAGGGGAAGAGGTACGTAAAACCATTGATAGTTCAAACTAAGATTCTTTTATTTAACAGAATTCATACAGTGATAACCAGAAAACTNACGACAGTTAATCCAAAGTTTTCTCTTATATGACGTGTAGAATATACTTTCATAGAATTGAACCAACCAAAATGTGACATTTTTGTTAAAAAATGTTTCTTTTCTTATGGTTTCAACACTTTTTATGAAAAAGATTATCGACATCCCCTATAAATTAAACATATAAGATAATGAGTAAATTATATAAAACAAAACGTTTTACTATGGGATTTCTAAACTATTGCTTCCTTCAGCCAAAAAATTCTCTACTGTCCTCAAAAAAAAATATGAGGAATAAGTTTATTGTTGATACTGATTGATGCCATAACGTCTTTATAAATATAAATTAATACTGCATTTGTCTATATTTATTTTACAAAAATACAGAATTTTTGCCAGAAGGGAAAACGGGTGTGGATCGGAGTCTTTAGGACTAAGCGCATGCCGCAAAAACCATTTTGTAACGTCATTAAATTTTCTAATTGATGAATCCCCCTGCACCTGTCCTGCCGTGTCCAATATGTCCAGTAAACAAGGTTGACCGTCAATAACTGTTCTCTGCTGATACGCATCTTCTATAGTTGGGTCATGATAATCTGTAAATATATTATTATATTATGTTAATTTCTGTTTGTCAGCTTATGAGGGAAAAAGTAATTTTTATAGAAACTAAGCTTTTAGGGCATGCGAAGTCCATCTTATTTTCAATTGTTTACATTCTAAAACAAAAACAAACAAAAATTTCGCGGATTCTAAACATTTTTTTGTTGATTTTATATAATTTTCAAAACTCTACTTTTGAAAGAGGGAAATTTTTGAAAATTCGATCATCCATAAACCTTCCCTGGGGTCACGTGAGGTCCAACAAAAAAATGTGGGCCCAATCGGTTCAGCCTTTTTGACGTTTAATGGATAACAGCAAACAAACAAACAAAAAACAGACAAAAAACAAAAATATATATAGAAGTAGCGAAATCACGGAAAAAGATGTTTTTATTTTACCTGCTCAGAATAGTGTTGGATGAAACCTGGCCATTATTTGACATTCCCCACAATTTTCCTAAAAAATATTTTTCATTCCCTTATTCAACATTTTTGGTTCACATTGGAAACAGCAGAAAATTTCAATTTATTAAGTTAAAGCTTAAAGTCCTTAAGCGTAATTTCAAGTGACCCTCCATCCACAGATGGCAGTGCCCGATTCACAATTGGTTCCCTTAACAGCTTTGTATGATCAAGTACGAATTAAAGGGAGTGATCTAATTCTGAAAACGTATCGACCCCCAAAGTAGGAGTTTTGAACGTCGAATTTGTGCTCAAACTCAGGATTTACAGATCTTTAAAAAGTTTAATACGTCTCAAATGATTCCGAAAGAAGTTTTCCACAACACTGCATACTAAGTTCAACTGCCTTACATAGCCGGTCACTCCCTTTAAATATATTTGTATGTTTTTGATTTTATATTTTCAGTCGAAATTCTATCAGTTCGGAAGATTTAAAAGGACTGTAAGCGTAATTTCCTCAATGCAAGGATGCCAAGGAATACAAAAGCGGCCTTTAAGCATCAATTAGATATATTAATGTTTTCGTTTCTTTAAACTGTTCACTTTCATTTGCGGTTTCTCTGTGAAGGTGACTTGTCATTTCTTGTTCTTAAAAAGCGATGGAGAAAATTAAAGAAATAAACACTAATCTTATCAGAAAAACGACGGTATCTTCCACATTTCTAATGAGATTAAGGTGTCAAGGGCACCGGTGTCAATCTGGCAGACATTGCCATCTTTGTATGGAGGGTCACTTTAAAATTACGCTTACAGTCCCTTTAAACTGTCTTCGGTTATTTTCATATCCCCGGCACAACTTGATAAAGAATGAAGGCAAATATGAAAACTAAAAATGAATTTATTAAGTCAAGCTTGATCTTCTTCTTCAAGTACTAAATACAACCAATACACGTCAAAGTGTTTAGTTAAGAATAAGACAATATTTAAAGAGAACTGATCTTTCATGCCAAAACTCAATATCATTTTTTTTGAAGGGGGGGGGGGCATTTTACAGTGCAGTGTTTATTTTCAAGTTTTAAAGTTTCAAAACTGTCAAAATATTAAAACATTCATGTTTTTCAAAAAGTAAATAATGTAAATGTAATGGAAAATAATCTAAAATTTGCTTTCCAAATATAAACAGTTATCAAACACAATAAATTCTACAAAATTTCGTCTACAAATATTGTTTTCTATATAATACAATAAATAATACGTTAATTACGCATCAATGAGTATTTAAACATTTCTCGAACTAGAAGACGGTTTTATTTTCTTATTTTTTGTTTACACTTCTTTTGCATCAATTTTCACGGGCAGCCGTAGTACATTTGAATTTCCGAGCCGGGCCAACCTTTCCGGTCCCAGTTTGTACTGTGATGCCCGGACATTGGGTAAATAAAACAGACACTCAATATGACTAGCTGGTGCAACAAGGTTGACGCGGTCAGACTTTAGGATGAATTTACTTTTACACAAGGGTCAGAGGTGCGTGTTTTAGATGAAATAGGTGGATTCAATTTTTTAAAGACTAACCCCCTTTGCGCGCGTTGAATAAAAACAGTGCTTTTTACAACTTTGTCTGAATACATAAGATATCCGTCTTTTTCTCTTTCAAACTTATCAATCTTAAAATGTGGTTTCTCCATTAAGTGCAAATTTCTGCTTCGGAAACGAAAGATTAAAAATTGAAAACTTAAAGCTAGAAAAACGATGATATCATTAGTATTATTAATAAGATTTTACAGTTGGGAATCAGACATGCCCCTTTTTTAAAATTGTTTTCAGATACCACTTTATTTCATTCTTTAACCTTGTATATTTTAGTTCTTCAGGATTAAAACGAGATTTACTTTAGCAGTTTTAAAGGAACTTTAAAGGAGTTTTATTTTGTAAAATGTTGTCCAACAATATTAAAAAAATGTTTCTTGATATTGTTTTGTCTATCCTTGTAAGGAATGACATGAGGCAGAAGCCCTTACTGTCTTACTGTATTACTGTACTCACTATTATACTTATATGATCCAGCTAACAATTGATACTACCACAAAAATTGTCTTATTCCTCTCTATCTGTCTATCTTTCTCTCTTTTTATCTTTATCTATCTATCTTCCTACCTATCTTGCTTGGTTACCATTTTTTCTCTCTATCTTTTCCAAATCAATTATTGGAGAAAATTAGAATTTAAACAATATGGAAAATAAATATTTACTAGAATTTGAAAGTCACAGGTCTCTGGGATAAGGACCGAACTCTTATTTCCACGTGCATGATAACTAAACGAAATATTACTTGGCTCAACAAACCACACATAACAACATTATCATACGTATTTAACAAGGAGAATGAATAAGAGTCAAATGTTTGTAGGAAAATATATCCCATTAGTACTGCATAAAAATGAATATCAGAATATACATAACATTCGAGTTGGAAATATAGGTGTAGAAAGTGATGTACATTGTATATGGCTAGAATTGGAAAATTGAATTTGAACGAAACTTATCTAGTGTTTAAACAACAAGTCCGCACAGTAGTCTTTCACAAGTGTACCCCTGTAATTTATCAATAATATTATATAGGCTTTGGCAGCCAATTAAAAAATACTTATAAGATCAATCTTCCAAATAATTTCTGTTAGGAATTCTGCGCAAATTTTTAAAACAACCCTAACTTGTAAAATCTTGACAAACAAGTTGCATTTTAGTGCATTTCTGTGAATTTTCTAAGAGTGAAAAATTGCTTGGTTGGATAAAAACAGTTGAAAAATGTATTTTATCATTATTGCACTTTTAGGGAATCTGTGCCAATTTAATTTAATCAAAATAATTACACTTTTAGGGAATCTGGGTCAATTTAATTTAATCAAAATAATTACACTTTTAGGGAATCTGGGTCAATTTAATTTAATCAAAATAATTACACTTTTAGGGAATCTGGGCCAATTTAATTTAATCAAAATAATTACACTTTTATGGAATCTGGGTCCATTTACGGCAAACATAATTACACTCAAGGTAATCAACGTCAATATTAGTCAAATAAAATTACATCTTCAGTCTTCAGAGAAATGCCACATTTATTAACATTTACAGCACTTGAAGGAAATCGAAACTTTGTTTAAATATATTAATTTTACTTTAGGGGAATCTATGTGAATTTAAGGATAATATAATTACTCTTTCAGGGAATCTATGTCAGTTTTATTCAAATATAATTACACTTTCAGGTAATCTATGTCAATTTAAGTCAAATATAATTACACTTTCAGGTAATCTATGTCAATTTAAGTTAAATATAATTACACTTTAAGGGAGTCTATGTCAATTTTAGTTAAATATAATTACACTTTCAGGTAATCTATGTCAATTTAAGTCAAATATAATTACACTTTAAGGGAATCTATGTCAATTTTAGTCAAATATAATTANAGATGCTAAGGAACATCTTGTGTTCTTAAGTCAAATATAATTACACTTTCAGGAAATCTACTTCATTTTAGTCAAACATAATTAAACTTCCAGGGAATCAATGCCAATTCAAGGGAAACATAATTATACTTTTATACTTAATTTTAGATAAATATAATTATACTTTGAGGGAATCTACTCAACTTGAGGCAAACACAATTACATTTTCAGGTAATCTTTGTCAATTTAAGGAAAATATTTACAAGTTTTAACCTTGAAATAATTCTGTTTAATATGCTCATTAATATGAACGAACAAAACTATGTATCTGCAAGAAAACAGAAAATAATGATTTAAATATCAGATTCAATTCAGAGGATTTGGTTTCAAAAAAAGTTCTAAACTTTGTATGAACCTTTAATGTTTTTGTTGTTGTTGTTTACAGGCTTACCCACAAAGGATGGGGCTTCAGTACGGTATTTGCATATCTTAAACGCCTTAATTTAAACTTAAGATCGTCATATTTGAAGAGTTAAAGTCGTCTTTACATTCTTATCCTTTGTGGATAACCCTGAATAATATTAACTATTTCTCGAAATTTGCATATATCTGTCACTTGATTAACCATTTTCTAAGTTTGTGAAAAATGAATGAAAAACTGTTTGTAATGAATGAGAAATGAATGAAAGTTCTATTAAAATTTTCTCACCTAGCCGTATTTGATCTTAAAATAAGCCTAGACTACTGTAAACACTATGTTTTGACACTTCAACAGACTTCTAGTTCTGTGCTGAATTTCAGGTAGTCAGCCAGATTGTCTGCGCAGACGATAGTTTCCGTGTTCTGCGCAGGTTTAGACCTTGAACTATGCGACTGTGCCGCGTAAATGATACTTTAAATAATAATAATAAAAATCAATCGAGCAAAGACGACAACTAAGTGTCATACAAACGTATATTTATGTTTCTTGGAATGTCGTCGTCTACTGCTGCATAATTACGCAATTTCGCCATTAACCTCAACCAAACCAAACACTCTATTTACTATCATGCTAGGATTTTAAAACTTTAATCTAGTTTTGTCACATTAGTGATTTAAATATGTTAATTTTGTGTTTTTTTAGATTCACGAATATCCTTTTAACCATATATCTCTTTTAAAATAGTTAAACCATCATTGTATAACATGAAATTAACTAAAATCTAATCAAACAAAATAAATTATTTTAACAATATATTTAAGATTAAGTTGATAATAAAAAAACAGGAATCTTTGTTTGTTTGATGTTTTTGTTGATACATATGATGATTTTCAGATAACTACAAAATGTTTAGTTTATAAATTTCTGAAAACAAACATTTGACGAGAGATGAGCAGAAGAGGAATAATAATGTTTACATCCTGCAACTACAGAATGCAATTGCGTAATTTTCGAAGCTTCGCCATGCTGATGCAGTTCTCGACGAATTCACCTAGCGTGGAGAAACTGACAATGTCTGGTAAAAGCATATCGTACCTTTCATAACGGTTTTATTAATTGTATTCCCCCTAAATATAATTAAGCTCTCAAAAAAGCCTTTGGGTCCATCCTAGTATTCGAATTTGGGCCCCTCCCCCTCCCTATCAATTTTGTACATGACCACTTATTTATTAATTTTCAACTAAATTAGTATATATTTAGGGTTAGGTAACGTTAAGACACTTTCTGGGTCGAGTGCTGCTGCGAGTACAGACTAGGGGGGCCGAGCGCCGCGGGGGGTTTTAAAATCGTATATTATAGGAAATTACCAAGTCTAATTATTGAACTTTAAAAGTAAACTCTAAGGGGGGAGGATAAATATTGACAGTTTCATTAGAGAAAATTAAAATATAACTTGAAATTTTCCATTTTGCAGAGGCGACTGCCGAGCTGTTTTCTGGACTGAAAAAGGGGGAAAGAGCGAGTTTAGCGAGAGCAATCACTCTTGTCGAGTCAACTAATATGTAGGTTTGTTAACATTTTATGATTTCAAATTTGTAAGCAAGGAGGGGTTTTTGGTTTTACAATTCAGTGTTTTGGTGCCCTGACAAGGTCTTAAAACCAGTTCCCCCTGAGATTTTTTTGAAATTCTGAAAGCCCTTATCAAGCTAAATGTTTTCAGTCATTTGTGTGCACGATAACAGAATAATAAATGGGGGCAAAACATGATATTGCTAATTAGAAAAAATTATGATGTTTTTTCCCCAAAAAAGTTTTGCATAATTTCTTGTGTGAGCTAGAACAAGCAGATAAAAAAAAAAAAAAAAATTTGAAAAAATCTTGTTTGACATTTTGCTGTCTTTAAGTTCAAGCTGTTTATGCATGCGCTACAGGTTCTAAAAGATTCTTTTATTCTCTTCTATTAGAAATTAAAATACAATGGGAAAATGAAAATATGAAAATATATGAAACTTGTATCTGATTTCTTTGTTACATAGGATAAGGGGAAACTTTTAAATATTTTTTGGGTAAATCATGTTTTTTTTCTCTTCCTTGAAGAAACTGGGGAAAGTAATATTATCACCTTTCAGAATAAAGGGAAAGAAATATCTTTTGAATTTTTTTCCCCGACTCCTAGAGTAAGTACAGTGATATTATTATGTTTCTTCTTCTCTTAATATATTTTTTCCTCCCTTTCCTCAATTTTTTTCTTTCTTTTTCTTCCCCTTTTTTCTTTTTTCTTATTCTCTTTTTCCTAGAATTTTCTTCTCTGGGCTGAATTCTCTGAAAAGTAAGAATATACTCCCCTGTTCATGATAAAGTTGAAATCTACCATATTAGAACTTAGTGTCGAAAGTAAGAAAGTACACGACAGTTAATCCAAAGTTTTCTGCTTATCATCGTCAACTTTTGTGGAGGAGATGTGGTAATTTAAATTTTTCGTTTGAGGGGAGAATTTTTGATTTTAAGTGACCTTTACTTTAAGAGGGCCATGCCATGCCCATTTCACAATGTTACCATTAAAACCTTTTTCTGATAGCTTTTGTGGGAGATATCGTCGTTTTCAATTTTTAATTTCAATCATTACCTCCATCGTTTCTGCCCTTGCCTGGAGTTCTAACAACTATCGAAAAATAATCAGTATTAAAAAAAAAGAACATAAGGCTAGATAACACAATCTTGAAGTGACAAAGCTTTTAAGGGTACCGTCGTGAATCGGGATTGTCCTTCTTTAAATGGAGGATCACTTGAAATTACAAGAACGGTCTCTTTAAGGAAGAAAAGCGTTGAAGCTCGAGCCCTGGTTCAGGAGGTTACTCAGTACTGCCGACATGAGGCCCAGCTGCGGGGGGAACCCGCAATTTCTTTCAGAATAGGTTCGTGAGAAATATATTTACAATTAGTGCAGGGGTGTATATTTTCTAAAATTATATGAAATATGTATTCAGAAATTATATAAACTGTTTAAGGGTTTTTTTACGCTGAATTGGGAGAAATAAATGTTACTTGGGTAAAAATTACCAAAAAGAAATAAAAACTCCCCCTTTACTTTTATTTTCTCCAAATGTAAATTATATAATTTGTCAGGATTGTCTGGGCCTCCTGGGGCGGGGAAGAGCACGTTTATAGAGACTATCGGGAAGAAGTTAACCAGCGAGGGGAATAAGGTTGCTGTCCTAGCCGTAGATCCTTCCAGGTTAGTCAATATTAAAATTTTTAGAACTATTTTAGGAGGGGGGGGGCCGGGGTATCAATCTATATATATAAAGTAGTAATCTTTGTTTGTTTTGTCTGATCAAAACTCAGGAACTTTTAGGCCGATTTGCCTCAATTTTTTATTGGGAACTCGGGAGAACCACGGGAATGTTATGAAAATGGGTCGACAGCTAAAAATCGTAATTTAAGACCAAGGGCGGGAAAACGGCGGTTTACTACCCTGGGCAAAGCTAGGTTCCCAGGCCAGTTTAAAATGTTACTAAATCTGCAGGTATTTATTTTGATTAAAATGAACTAATCTAAATTATTGTTGTTTATAGCGGTACAACTGGTGGTTCTTTGCTTGGAGATAAAACAAGGATGCCAGAGCTTACTGTAGACCCTAGAGCTTACATTAGACCTAGTCCTGCTCGCGGTCATTTAGGTAGGTTCTACTGTATACCCTATAGCTTACATTAGGCCTAGTCCTGCTCGGGGTCATTTAGGTAGGTTCTACTGTAGACCCTAGAGCTTATATTAGACCTAGTCCTGCCCGCGGTTAACTAGGTAGGTTCTACTGTATACCCTAGAGCTTACATTAGACCTAGTCCTGCTCGCGGTCATTTAGGTAGGTTCTACTGTATACCCTAGAGCTTATATAAGACCTAGTCCTGCCCGCGGTCATCTAGGTAGGTTCTACTGTATACCCTATAGCTTACATTAGACCTAGTCCTGCTCGGGGTCATTTATGTTGGTTCTACTGTAGATCCTAGAGCTTATATTAGACCTAGTTGCTTGCGGTCATTTAGGTAGGTTCTCCTGTAGACCCTAGAGCTTATATTAGACCTAGTCCTGGTCGCGGTCATTTAGGTACGTTCTACTGTAGACCCTAGAGTTTATATTAGACCTAGTTCTGCTTGCGGTCATCTAGGTAGGTTCTGCTGTAGACCCTACTGTATCCTCCGAAAATAAATATTTATAAGATTTGAATGTTTAAAACCGGACCTCTTGACGATGCCAATTTTTTTTCATTTCTCATATTGCAGGTGGTGTGACCAGAACAACAAATGAAGCTATTCTTCTGTGTGAAGCTGCAGGGTTCAATATTATAATAGGTCAAGAGTTATTTTTTTAAAATCTTTAAAAAGATAATTATTTTTGGGATAATTTTAACTGTTTCGGATTATTATTCATTCTGAACCTCTCACCTCTCTTCAAAGAACTTTTTATTTTAAGTGTTTCGATAGTGTTAACAAACATACGATTTTTTTAATTGTTAAAGTGACAGTCGACGTAAGTTCAAGGGTTTCGATAGTGTTAACAAACATACGATTTTTTAATTGTTAAAGTGACAGTCGACGTAAGTTCAAGGGTTACGTTCCCGATACAATGGTACCCTTAAACCATTTATCGGATTGACAAGTGAAGAGATATCGTCGTTTTTTTTCAATGACAAGGTTTACTTCTCTTAATTCCTTTTCCCCCCGATTCTCGAGTGCATAAATCCGCAATTCACTTAATCGCAATCTAAAATAGTCGTATTTAAGATAAAAAACAAACAATAATAAATCGTTGCACGTGCACGGGTTTAAAGAAACCATTGTGAATCGGACATGTAGCTCTTTTAATTGGGGGACCATTACGTCGACAAAACTTTTAAATCAGGTTAATATTCCTAGATCACTTCTGAATAATAGTTTTAAGAGTTTTTGTTTCTAGTTGAAACTGTTGGTGTTGGACAGAGTGAATACATGGTTTCCAATATGGTGGACATGTTGTGCCTGCTGCTTCCCCCTGCCGGGGGTGATGAACTTCAAGGAATTAAACGCGGTATTGTTGAGCAGAGCGACCTCCTAGGTGAGTTTTCATTCTCATGTAGAATTTGGTCCGCTTGCTTGACCTAAATATTAATGTTCAGTAACTGCCATTAATTAATAACGATATATTTTTAAACATATCGATGAAGGGTTGCTTAGATTTACGTGGATAATAATTTTCCAACCGTTGGTTTTTAAGTAAAGATTGTAGATAGACCTGGAGGGTCTTTTTAGATCATTAGAATTAGTTTAAGATTAAAATAAGATTTTTATAAAAATTCTAGTTGTAACAAAATGTGATGGTGACCTAGTGCCTGCTGCCCGCAGGATGGCGATGGAGTACACGTCGGCTCTTAAATTTATGCGTCCAAGGTATTATTTTTATTTTTGGGAAGATGGTGCTTTTCAATAAAATATCCAGACTGCAGAGGTTGTTATTTTAAAAATTTTAAGAATTACTATCTAAGGAAAAGTAGTTAAAAAAATTGGACATGAAAAGGCAAGATTTTTCAACTTTCATCCTTTTTTTATATTTTTACCCACATTTTTTTATTATTTTTTTACTTTCCCAAATTCAGCGAGTAAAACCATCAAAAAGTGCTAACATACCTAGCTTATGGGTGAAAATTATGATGTTCAAAAGGGAGTTGAAATGATTTAAATATAAAATATACATCCCTGAATTTAAGGAGTCCGGTTTGGAGACCTAAAGTTAAGATGGTCTCGGCTCGAACATTAGTGGGTGTTCAGGTATTCATGATTTTCCCATTATAAACACATGAAAATATCTTAGGTTTTGTTTTGATTAAATATTTTTTATTGTATATTGACATTCGGATCCTTAGCACATTTTCACCTATTCATAGTTCCTAAATATTTTTATATTACTAGGCTTTTAGGGCGCTTCTATTTAAATTGTGAACATGTTCTTTTTGTTTACATTTTAAAACAAAGAAGAAACAAATTTGGCGGTTTTTAATTTAAATTTAATTTAAATTTTTTACAAAATTAAAAACCTTTAAAACACATTTATTTTTATTTTTATCATTCATAAACCTTCTCTGTGGTCACGTGATGTCCCACAAAAAATTTGGGCCCGATCGGTTCAGCCGTTTAGACGTTTATTGGATACAAACCAACAATCAGACAGACAAGCCAAATTTATATATAGATTATTTTTATTCAAAGACAACCCAAAGTATAATATGAAAATTTTTGTTACAATGAAAAACTGTTAAAAAATTTTTTTTGTTTCAGGAGGTCTGGGACACGATGCAGAAATATAATAAAATTCTTATCGAGTCCGGGGAGCTGAGGCGACTTCGGAGTAACCAGCATAAATTATGGATGTGGAGCTATGTAGAGGAACGTCTACTCACCCTGGTTCATTCGAGCCGCAGCGTTGCACTGAAAGCGCGTGCGTTAGAGGCTGCTGTGCTGGCCGGCCAACTCCCGCCGGGAACTGCGGCTGATTCTCTTATTGACGCTTTTCTTCATAAACTTAAAAGTTAATTTTGGAGTTTTTAAAGAATTTTTGTTAGACAAGAGACAAACTTGTTTTGTTTTAATCAATTTAGTAAGGTCGTCGTCGAATCTATCAATACAATGAAGATTTTGATTTCGACCAATCTTTCAAACAACAATGACATAAGACGAGTAAACAAAGCGAAGTTTTCGATTAACAGCTTCTCTATAGTTAACACGCAAACTTGAAATTCGAAAAATGCTTGTCAGGGATCAAAACATTATTTATAGAAGTCGTTTTCATTGTATTGATGTACAAGCTAACCACTGTACGGGTATCTGAATATAGTGGCGATCTAGAGGATCTATGACGGAGTCCTTCACAGATTTTTTTTATGGAATAGTTCTTTTTAATTGTTTGGGACTTGGGAGGATGGGTTTACTAGTGTATTTTGCCTGTTACAACCATTGGCGAAGTTCTCTCACAATGAGAATATTTCATGCAACAATCAAGTAAAGGGTTCCATAAAGGATGAGACTTAAAAGGAATTGTTCAAGTTCTTTCCATAAACCCATGCTTCCCTATACATTCAATAACTAGTTTTATCTGTACCATTAAAAGATTATTTATGACCGAAGACCATATATAGCTTTTATTTTCTTATATTAAAAGAGTTAGGGGTCGTCTTTTTAGTCGCATTCTTTGTGGGTTACCCTTTATTTAATCTATAAACTTGGTTTTATGTTAGTCATAAAAATAAAAGGTGGTGCTACGTAATGTGATAGTTTTAGATAATATTTATTATTTGTCTAGATTTGTTTTATATGTTTACCCATAGCTATCAATACTGTCACCTGCTCGGTAATCAATACAGAAACAGGGGGCGTATACAGGGGGGGGGGCAAGCACCAGCATTCTTTATGAGTCTATGATGGTACACTGCCCCCCCACCCCCCTCCCTTTACGCCCTTGTTCAGAGAACGGAAGAAATTAACTTTACCAAATTATAAGAGTAAATACAAAAAAAATATTCTGAATAAATGTATTGACGGATTATATATTTTCAGATGAATTCTTCTCAAGAATTGTTTCCTCTCGTGGCGGTTGAAATAAAACTCTTGGTTTAACCAGGAAACCAGGGGATCCAAGGGAACCAGGAAACCCAAAAATCCAGGAAACCAGGGACCGAGTAAACTCTAAAACTATGAATGAAGATATGAAGTATGAACAGGTTCGCCTGGAAACCTTCTCTAGTTGGCCAGCCAATGCAAAGGTTAGTTTGATTATCATAGAGTAACCTAGGGGGGAAGGCACATCATACCTTTCTTCATCCGCACCTCAAATGGCGTCACAAAGATAACTTCTCGGCATTGCGCTCACCATTATTTCTTTCTGTCACAACTGTTTTTGGACCGGTGTCTGGCATTGAGCGAACTCTTCCATGGGGCAGATTCGACCTTCATAGTTTTCCCATTTTAACACAATTTTACACTTTAAAAGCAATGTTAAAACATTTTAAATTATTAGTTAACATATATTAAATACGTATTTAGTCCTTTAATGTATTTTAAAGGGGGTAAAATAGGTGATTTCCTCTTGAATGTCGTCTTACTTTCAAATAATCAAACAATTGGTATTTACTTCAGGCATAGTGAAATAATGGCTTTTTAAAATCAAAATACATTAATAAATATCGGGAAATGTAATGAAATTGCTTTTCATATCTTACATTGTGTTGAAATAGTTAAAGCTTATGGGGAGGTTTGCCCCATGCAAGAGTCCGCGCCATCTATGACACCGAGTCCTGATCTTGGATCCATCTGTAGAAAAAAACGGATCCAGAGAGCTATGATACAGATTCTAATATCTAATAAACAGTAATTTACGACGCCCTGTACACTTACAGTGTCCAGAGATCGAAAATTTTGTGTGAATATTGTTCATCTTGAACTCTTGATCTCGATATCCAATGCGGGCACTATTGAATTTGCATGCTTGGTCTCTCAATTCACGTTATCCCTGCAGGATATCTACGAGGGATTAAATTAAACCGTAGATCTGCATAACATGAGATCAATGCTTGATACTGAGATTTAAAATAAGGAAGTTTTGACTTCAGAAATACTAGTTGTTAACAATGTAACCAGCTCCTAAAAAACACTTACCCCTGCGGCCCCCCCCCTTCCTCTTTTGAAATTGAAAAAGTTATAATTTATAGTTTATTTATAGCCTTTTTTTGGGGTAAATGATTTTTAGGGAAAATGTTTCTACAAAACCTTGCAAGTTGAAGTTTTAATTATTAATAACAAATGACTAAACCACCTCAGGAGAACATTCACCCCTGTTTTATGTATCATGGTTTCCTGTTGATAAGAATAATGTTTACAGTGTTTCGAGTAATCTTTAGGTTCCTTCAGTGCCAAACGATTTTTCGAGATATATTTTTATGGAAACATTTGTTTTATTCACTACATAACACACCTTTTAATTCTTTGATTTTATTAAGGGAGCTGGAATTATTTTGAATTTTGTTAAGAACATTTTTTTGGTTTGTCGATACTTAAATTGTTGATTCTCTTTAATCGGTGATTATTTTTCAAATTTCTGATTCCGATTCATGTGAAAGATGTTGTTTAAAAGTATACTGACAACTTTATTCTAAGTGACACAATGTTTAATGTGTATAGAGTGACCTATCCAATTCGAAACGGTGTTTTAAAACATTGGTCTGATAAAGGATGAATGAGATGTCCTTTTGTCAAAGTTTAAAATTGAATAATTTTTAATTCCAGTGTCTTTTTTTAATGACCCGTGGATTTCTACAACAGGAAATTATCAAAGTTATTTTCAAAGATTAACAAACAATGACATCTTTGTCATTGTTTATCATTGTGAATCAGACATGAAAATTCGCTTGGAATTACGTCTTCAATCAAACAAGGCCGTGTAGTTTCGTTTCAACTTGTTTATTTTGCAGGGGTGTAAATTTTTCAGATAGACAGAATAGTTTTTAATAAATTGGGGGAAAAAATGGATAATGGGACATCAAAAAGCAAGTTTTTTTATTCTTTTTGATACTTTTTACCCAAAAAATCATTTATTTTCCCTGACAAAAAATCATTTATTTTCCCTGACAAAATCTTTTATTTTACCTGAAAAAATCATTTATTTTACCTGAAAAAATCATTTATTTTACCTGAAAAAAATCATTTATTTTACCCAATTTTTTAGGAAAAAATACACCCCTGTAATTTTGTCAATATTATTCAGGTAGAAGCGTGGAAAATGGCTAAAGCTGGACTACTGTATACTGGACAAGAAGAACAAGTGAAATGTACATTCTGTGGTTGTTTACTTTCAGACTGGCAGTACGGGGACCAGGTATCTTTAGGGTATTATACCCCCACTGTGGGGGGGGGCTACAGTGGGTATTTTAGGGGTCAGGGGGGTGACCGGCTTTTGTCTCAATTTTCCTTTAAAATAAATATGCCTTGTTTTTCGTGATGAAAATGGACAATTTAAATATATTCTGAAATTTTTTCATTTACAAACATTGCATTGATTTATAATGATTTTAATTTACAATTACATTTCCCGTTCATATATTTATTCTCTGTATTTATCAATGAATGGATCCTATAAATCCGATATTTTGCGTACAATTTAGAGGTCATGGTGTACATTGGTAATACAAGTCTTTTTTTTAAAAAAAAACAATAATTAGAATAATCTAGATAGATATACAATAATACAAATAGACTTTGCTTAAAAATTCATGGGTCACTGCAGCCGAACACTTAAATAATTTTTTCAGTTTTCATAAAATCATTTATTGTGTAATTAAACAGCAATCAGGATAATAAAATCATTTATTGTGTAATTAAACAGCAATCAGGATAATAAAATCATGTATTGTGTAATTAAACAGCATTCAGGATAATAAAATCATGTATTGTGTAATTAAACAGCAATCAGGATAATAAAATCATGTATTGTGTAATTAAACAGCAATCAGGATAATAAAATCATGTATTGTGTAATTAAACAGCAATGAGGATAATAAAATCATGTATTGTGTAATTAAACAGCAATCAGGATAATAAAATCATGTATTGTGTAATTAAACAGCAATCAGGATAATAAAATCATTTATTGTGTAATTAAACAGCAATCAGGATAATAAAATCATGTATTGTGTAATTAAACAGCAATCAGGATAATAAAATCATTTATTGTGTAATTAAACACCAATCAGGATAATAAAATCATGTATTGTGTAATTAAACAGCAATCAGGATAATAAAATCATGTATTGTGTAATTAAACAGCAATCAGGATAATAAAATCATGTATTGTGTAATTAAACAGCAATCAGGATAATAAAATCATTTATTGTGTAATTAAACAGCAATCAGGATAATAAAATCATGTATTGCTATGCTTTAAGGACTCTTCGAGCCCATCTTCTATTACAACTTGTACTTGTGGCCCTTTCTGATAGAATCTTCTCCGTGTTCTATAAAAACAATAACAAAAATAAATTTATGGATTTAACAATTTTTTTCGTGGATTTTTATAATTTACAAATTTCTAAATTTTCAGACAAATTTTGTAATTTTGAGTATCCATAAACCTTCCCTGGGGTCACGTGAGTTTTCTCCAAAAATTTGAGCTTGATCGGTTCAGCCGTTTTTTTCATTTCTCGGATACAAACAAACAGACAGACAATCAAAGTATATAAATAGATTATTTATGATTATTTCCTAGGTAATGTCCAGACACAGACTGGCAAACCCATCGTGTCCTTTCGTTCAAAATCAGTCCAACAACGTCCCCTTGGGGAACTCAGCTGACAGTGCACGCGTGGAGACTGCTACAGACGATGTGGATGCCGAGAATGATGTGGAGATGGGTGGACGAGGAGGTGGAGAAGATGATGGAGGTGAAGGTGGTAGGATAGGAGGAGGAGTTGAATCTCATGAGGATACCGAAGATGCTGGCTATGATGGTAGAGCATTATTAAATATATCAGGTAAGTCCTCTGTTCTTACCAAGGGGCAACTTTCATATGTAATATTAAATTCGATATGAAGTCGATGGCCTCCAATCCACATAATGTCAATAACTAGACATCAGCCAAGATTCCCCCCCCCCCTCTGACTGTAAATAAGTTAAGCTTTTTTGCTAAGCGATCCGCAAGCCTTTATTTTACGTTTATTAAAAGTAAAAACAAAAATAAAAATTTCCCGGATTTTCCTGTTTTTACTGGTGTATTTACGATCTATTTTTTTGGATCAGTTTTTTTATTTCTTCAGGCCTTAAGTCGTCCTATGGGTCATACGAGTTACCACCCTTATGAAGAAAACAAACTAACAATTAGTGCGCGATGGCAGTCTAGGTTATCCAATGGGGGGGGGGGTGTTAAGATCCGTTTTCCCTTTCCCGATATTTCTGATATCTAGAGATTGACATTTTTAAATTTATTAGAACTTGATACCAGTCCTGCAGCTAGTCCTATGGATGTATCTGACCTTTTGAGGTAACATTTTTAGATTTTAAAGGGACTGTTGGCGTAACATTTTTAGATTTTAAAGGGACTGTTGGCGTAACATTTTTAGATTTTAAAGGGACTGTTGGCGTAACATTTTTATATTTTAAAGAGACTGTTGGCGTAACATTTTTAGATTTTAAAGGGACTGTTGACAGAACATTATAAAGAGTTGCATGCTTGATTCACGCTGACACCTTCGTCTTGGCAAATATCTAGATATTAATGTTTTCCTATATTTATGCAGAAGAAACAAAGAAAGAGATTTACAAAATTTAACATTTTTTTTAACGTCCAACTACTTTCTGGTTCTGCCATATTATCATATTTTCCACTTTTTAAAGCATATTATTTTAAATCACAAGCATCTAATCTACTAGTTATATTGTTAACAAACTTAAATTGATTTCTGTAATTTTCATTTAGCCAAGGCAAAGCCATTATGTCCAGGAATTACAATCTTTTGTTACTAATTATGTCAAAACTAGTTTCTGTGCTGTCCTAATGCAGTGGTAACTAT